TGTGTGTGTGTGTGTGTGTGTGTGTGTGTGTGTGTGTGTGTGTGTGTGTGTGTGTGTGTGTGTGTGTGTGTCGACTGGCACCAAGACAACCCCTTTTCCTTCCAGATGAGCAGATCCAAAATTGAAACAGCTTTACCTCACATATCTATCAACTGAAACTCTGTGTGTGTGTGTGTGCATGTGTGTGGGTGTCTGTAGGTGTGTGTGTGTGTGTAGGTGGGTGAGTGGATGGTTGGGTGTCCAAGAGTCATCCGACAACACATGCACAGAAAGGGAGATATGCTCAACGCTGAAAGTAGGATGACCTTACAGCCAAGTATATGTCCAGATCTGCGGGTCCAGCGACCCTTACAGTATATGTCCAGATTCTCAGCATCTTCTGTATATGACTTTGTGTAAGGGGCGCTGGACCTGTTTCCCAGCAGGTGTTGCTCCCCACCAATAGATCGGAGCCAACAGATGGCCTGCTAGTGTTGGTGCTTGTTGTACCTGGTGTTTAAAAAAAAAACAAAGGATGACCTGACACAGCCCATGTGGCTGAATGGTGCACACTGCGCACTGCATGTATGCAATTGATAATAAGCAGGTCGTGAGCTCTCGTTCTGCGGGAATCAGATGGATACAACAATGCCAGGGACAATCTCCCCTCTTGAAGAACTACTACCTTTCACATATATCGGCCGCGGGCGAGGGCCCCCCACCAGACCCCACAACTTTCGGAGGCCGGTAATGCGAAAACGGCCGCCGATGAAATTTATCAACGGTGGCCGCAGCCTTTGGGCCCGGCCTCCAAAGGTCCCCGAAGAATGTGGTATAGGTCCTATAGGACCATAGGTTATATTTTCCCACTTGGCACACCAGCCTTAAAGGTAGGTGCCGCCTTTGGGCCGGGCAGTCGAAAACGAGAAATGAAAAAGTGGGAGTCTGTGGGACAACCTTGAATGATAGTGTCTATCGCTGGAAAGACTGATCCTCAGGTGTCCTTCTGGTTGGTGCTGTGATTGGCGTTTGCTGCATGCGGTCAGGCACCGACACTGGGATATGAGAAGTATGTTGGGAACAAGACCACTTTTGAGTCACTGAACGCGAAGTTTGCGCATATGTTGAGGCATGATGACTCTGATTGGGAGTGGAGAGACCCTCCTGCAATTTTTGTAATGTTTGAGCCCTTTCGTCTGAAGGAAACGTATGTACACATCCGCACACAATTTCCCACCATAGAGTCGCTTCTCTTCTCGCCGGAGTTTTTTGCCAAAGCCCACCAGATCTACGATCGTCTGCAGGTATGTTTGTGTGGTGTATATGGCATAAGTAGGATTGCACAGATTATGAAAGCAGGCAGCCTTCAAGATGCGCCATTTGACCCGTCTGGAAGAAGCATTTCCACCTTATGACAACTGGTACATGGTTTAGGACAAGCTTTTGTACGTACACCCTTATGACATCTGGTCCATATGCATTGGCTCCAACTGCGAAACGTGGCCCTGTCAACTTTTTTTTTTTTTTTTTTTTTTTTTGGTTGTAAATTCAACTAAATTGCCAAATTGCCAAATTGCCAAAAATTGGACCATTTCAGACATTTCTTGATTTATGTGCCTGGCATCGTTGGGGCCTTGCTAAGCTTATCTGTATTGCTCACTCATGCCAACTTTTCCCGTGTTCTTTCGAACCTCGATTACCTGGTGCTGAGTGGCATGAGTTGGGCCTGCTCTGATTGCAGGCTGGCACCCTGATCTAGACTGCATCAGACCTGTGCACGTCCCATTTCATTCATGATTCATGGCTTTTTTTTTTTTTTTTTTTT